TAGCAAATTGATTGAGTTCTTAAAATTAGGTATTATAACAAACTGGAACTTCTCACATAAGTATACATATTGTTTCAATAATATAAGGTTCTATGAGTCTGAAATGTCGATCCCACAGGGAAGGGCAGGTTGATAATTCCTAAGATGAAGTTCTAGTCTACTACTTTCAGACCTTAGTTGGGAATATTGTTAAGAGTGGTTTTTCTATTAACTAATTCTATGTTACGTTTCTATACCTAAGTTGAACTTGCCTAGATCAATTAGTTAGGTAAAATTCAAAATTGATAAGAGTACTTTCCTCTTATGAATTACTATGTAGATTGTAGGTATTACTATTAGGAATTGTTATGCTATAGTGACAAAAGGAGCACAAGGCTCATTTACCCTCTTTCGAGTGCATAAATAAGTACGATTTAAATTTTGGTTCTTGTTTCCGACTGTCACCCTAGAAACTCCTCGCTCAAACCCTCTCAAAACACATCTCCCTAAATTGCATTGCCTCCTGACTACTTCACCATAACCATTTGAACAATGTGAATATTTTATGTGGTTTCGCCATTGCTCTCTTAGGTCCTAATGGGTCACAACTGATTTTAACAAGTTTTATGGCCAGTGCAAAATGTAAATTAAGCCTAGAAGAATACTCATCACATTAAGTAATAAAAACCAATTCCATAGCATTAATGATCCTTTAGATCTAACCTTACAATCATAAGAGAAAAGTATAAGAAATCTACTCACTACACATATTGAACAGAATAGAAATCTTCATTTAATCCAAGAAATTTCACCAAATATGTGTTTATAACGGAAATCAAACAATATTAAACTCAATCCTTAGCTTTTCCTTTCTGAAAAGAAAAGCAAATTCCATGGACAAAGTCCTTCACAATGCTGCACATGATGCTAAAGTAAAGCCCTTACAAATTCTCTCAAATTTCCCTCTCAAATCTCTTCAGAACAAGTGAAATAATCTAAATCCTACTCTTATCTACAACCTGTTGGCATTCTTAGAGAATTCTAGGATTTAGGAATGCCAAAAAGTGCTTCGCCACCCAACCAAGTTCGTCAAATAACTCCCGGGGGCGTACTAAAACCACACAGAATATTTCTGATGCCTAGGCGTTACTCTGTGGTGCCTAGGCACCACCTTCTTGGGTTTCCTGGGATCATTTGGTGCCTAGGCACCACCTTTCTTGGGTTTCTTGGGATTTTCTGGCTCCTAGGAGCTAGGAGTTGGTGTCATGGCGCCAAGGGGTGGCGTCTAGGCTCCAGAAGCTGACACCTAGGCGCTAGTATGCTAGTTTACTCTGTTCTCCATTTTGCCTCTACTTCGATCCGCTTCAACTCCAATTCACTCCATGTTTCCTAACTATTATGCCTGTAAAGAAAACATGAAAATACCCTTTTTTAAAGTACAATTTCATTAAAAAATAGGCGCTAAATGTAAAGAAAATAAAGCATGTTAAAAAACATTTCATTAAACCAAGTATAATTAGGTTCATAAATCCTTACTTTTAAAAATATATCAGCAATAACAACAACAACAATAACAATAATAATAATATTTTGAATTGGTTGCATCTAATTTCATGAATAAATAAGTTTAATTTTATAAATATTTTAACTTATTTCTTAATTAGTATATGATTGATAGTCTTGTCGTCAAATTTGTAGAGAAATCATGTTTGCCGCCTCGTGGTAAATAATTATTTTTTATTATGGGATAACATACCCTTACTAGTCATGGGGTGCTATCTTTGTTAGTTGTATTAGATTCATAGCTAATTGTAGGTTTGTCATTCATATCATTTTAAATTTTGTTCATATACTTGTAGTAGTTCCCATTTTTTGCTTATAATGATATTAATGTGTAATTAATCATGTTCAATCGTTGCTTAGCTTCATGTTTAATTATTTACCTTTCCTTATTTCAATATTTATTATTATTTTTATTTATTTGATGTGGTAAATTTTATTATTTCAGTTCCACAATTGTTTATATCACTGATGGACATTTTGTAATTATATTCTTGTATTTTGATTGTAATGCATGAAATGTAACTATTATTATAACATTATTATGCCCATATTAAACCTTTTTATGGGTCCTCATATAAATTAGTGAATTTGTATGGGAATGTTGCCCTCTTTTTCTTATTTTAGCGTGTCATAGTAAATCGACTATATATATATATATATATATATATATGCATGAAATGAAAATATATATTATCAGGCAACATTAATTGATTCATGAGTCATATCTGCATAAAAATACCTGATATTGTAGCATGTAAAAATCTAAATAAGTGTGCATGTATTCAAGTTACTCATATTCAAGATCATAAACATGTGATAGCCTTTGCAAATTCTTCTATACACATGGTAAAACATCTCTATTTATTGATCATATTGCATGTTATATTTTCCTTCATTTATGTTTTAATAAATAATTGTTATTTATTGAGTTTGATTTTCAAACTCACTTATTGATATTTTTATATACATGTTTCACCTAACCACTTATAGGACATTTTTTTACCGAAATAGACTTTCCAGATTTAGATTTAGTGTTGTATTTTTTTTTGGTTTTGAATGAGTAATTTTATTTTCTTTCTGGGTCTGGATAGTTATTTCCTTATTTTCATTTTAATTTCTTTCGATTATCTTATTTTCTTTTAGTTGTATCAATTGTGCTCTTATTTATGCAAAATAAGCTTTTTATCATTTCTTTTTGTTATTACTTAGATAACATTTTTTCTTATAATACAAAAGCAGATTTAATTCATTTCATCACACCCTATACTGCTGGAGTATAACTTTTTCTCATTTCTTTTTGTTATTACTTAGATAATATTTTTTCTTATAATACAAAAACAGATTCAATTCATTTCATCACACCCTATACTGCTGGAGTATACCGTCTTTCGAACTCAGGATGTGACAATTGTCCTAATAAGAAAACAAATTTAACTATGCCTTCAAATACTTTTGGATTAACAATACTCGTGATTATTTTAATTACATAATAATATATTTAAGAGAATTGGATATTATCCGCCAATATTCCTACTTGACACTCCCCCCACTAAAATGAAGTGGCAAAAAAATCATCGTTTTTTAGAGGTGATTAGGATACTTTTTCTGCACATTCAAATACCAAAATAGCATTGGGAAGAGTTGTTCTAAAAACTTCCTATTTAATCAATAAGATATCCTTTTGAGTATTCATTTTCAAAACTCTACTAAACTATTTTGTAGAATGTTTTCATATCAACTATCTTTCTTTATATATATACAAGAAAGAACAAGCCAAGCAAAAATCTCCAGCAAATTCAAGACTCAAAATTATTAGTAGGTAACACTACTGAACTCACTACCACTCATACATATCATATATGTCAATACACTTTATTTCGTAAATTATACATGTCTTTTAAAACATTTCTAGCTACCGCTAACATCAATCCTATTTCTATTTCACAAACTTTATTTGAAATACTTAAAAATAAAAAAAAATAAAAGAAAATCACGAGAGAATAGATGAATGACTTAGAAAAAAATCATATATGGGAGATTATTGAATTGCTAGGGAAATAGTGGAATGATGCAAATGAATTTTCAAAATAAAATATAAAATATATGAAAGCCGATAAAGATATAAAGTAAGATGCGTAACAAATAAAATACTCAATCATGTGAGATTGATTATCAAGAAATTTTTGTTTACGTTACTAAAATAAATACTATTTACATTTCGATATCATAAAGCAATATGATGTAAGAAATACTTCTTATATGATGACATTGAAGAACTGGTTTATATAAAGAGTTTTTTAAGAAAATTAGATATGCAGCTTAAAAAAGGCCATATATGGATTAAAACATTCACTAAGAACTTAGTTTGATAGTTTTACAAAAACTATGGAAGAAGTTAGATACAAACTTAGTCAAGGAAACCATAATCTCTTCCTAAAATACTCTCTTGATGACAGAAAATCAATCTTGAGTGCATTTTGATGATATAATTATTATAGAAGATGATAATAAAGAGAAATAAGCTTTCAGAAAAAAAAAAACTTGATAAAGAATTCAAAGTTAAAAAATTATGTAAGCTAAAACACCTCATAAGAATAGAAGTGACTCGATCTTAACAAAAGAAATTTTTCTCCCAAAAAACATATATTATGAACTTGTTAAAAGATATCAAGATGATAAAGTGCAAGCCATGTGAAATTATAACTGAAACAAGATAAAAATTAGAGCTTGGTGAAGAAGAAGTTGATATATACATTGGACGTTATTAAATGTTAGTGGAAAAACTAATTTTCTTATCCCACATTCATCTCAAACATTATTATATTTGCAGTAATTAGTTTAGTCAATCAATTTATGCACAAATATGGAGAGTTACACATTGAAGCTGCTACGGAAACTTCATATATATATATCAATTTTGGATTCATTGGGCTCACATTGTTGAGAGAGTCAGTTTGAATATAAGCTTGTTGGAATCAGAATCTTGAATGACCTTGAATTACAATCCGAAACATTTATTATTCGAACTGAGAATTTTGTATGTATGTATATATATATATATATGTATATATAGAAAATTCTAAAATGTGATGTCATGGTGCAAATTACAACCTCAACCACCGTGCAGGTAAATATGCAATTTTTTGTTTATAAAAATTTAAATCTCCTAAAAGTCATATGCTAAAGGTGTGGGGGGTTAACATTTATGGTTCCATTATCTCGGCATCGAATCGGATTCGAAGTTGGTCAAGAAGCGAGTTGCCAAAATTGCTTAAATTCCTCCCGCGAGGGAGCACAACCTGTATTGCCTATTTTAATTTTTTTGAATTTTGTTGTTTTGGGGTCGCCCTTTTGTTGCAGAGATCGGCTGGTTTCGGCCGGGGAAGCGGCGGATCTCCGGCGACAGGAGTGATAGAGATGATCACACGATCACAGCTGGTGGAAGAGTTGAGAGAATATCAGATCCGATCCCAACGCAAGTGGGCCGCTCTGCTGATTTTTTCTCCAAAGCCCCAGATCAGGAATCGGTCATCTTCATTTCTTTTTTATCGTTTGACATAACTTGAATTTCTTCTGACTTCCTTTTTTTTACCGGAGTATTATCCTTCACTGTAACATCGATGCATGAAACTTATGCAAGTGGGCTTACATTGCATTTATGAATTACTATTTAAAAGATTCAAGATTCAAATGACTGAAATTCAGTATACCCTTAAAATTTCTTTTTGTTCGATCCGGAATGTGAAATTTTCCATATTGATAGGATCTTTCTTTTTTATTTATTGTTAGGAGAAACCCACGTAGTGGGATTAAGGCTTTGTTGTTGTTTTTTTTTAGTTATTGTTAGGAGAAACCATTAGCTCGTCTTTATAGATGTTTTAGTTTACAATTGTCATCATAAAGAAACCATTAGCTCGTTTTTATAGATGTTTTAGTTTACAATTGTCATCATAAACATAAAAATTGCTAATATTGATTTACTGGTGATTATTGAATTTATTTTTTGCAGGAAGGATGTTGTTGTGGCTCTGATATTTGCCCTATTCTTTTGCTTCGTAATAATTTCTTCCTACATCTCTTTCTACTTCAAGCTTTATAGACTTTCTGCTGTAGCTATATGTGTTGGGATTCTTCTTCCAACGTGCCTGAGATTTTCCAGGCAGAGAAAGCTTGCAAGGAAAAGGGATGGGAGATATTCCTTACCTTTGTCGATGTAGCTGTTGAGGGGAAGAGCCAATTTTCATTATTTGATTGAAGAGTGGTGTTATTGATAACTTGAGCAACATAAGGAGCTCTCCTTTGGGAGTTGCTAGGTAGGCAGTCTTTTTTTTTTTTTGAAACATTTAGAGTATTCTTATACTAGCATTGTAACTCTGACAGCCATTCTTTCTGTTTTGCTTTTCTTTGCACGGCATTCAAGTTCCAGAATTATAGAGATATTTACAGATTGTTGATTTTTAACTTCTGTGTTGGCTCATATATTCTGTATATTTACTGCAACAACTAGCATTATAAAAAATACTTAGAGCAAGAAAGATTGTATTCTCGTTTGAGAATTGCTGATGGAAATGGAGGTTATTTTCTTTTTCAGTTACATATGCAGATGAAATGCAGACTTGTTACCAAGCCTTTGACAGGATCTTAAATTCATTTTCTTAACTGTCAATATAAATGTGGACTCACTATTGGACCTTAGTATAGGGAAATAAATTTATAATCAAGTTGAGTATCATAGAAATAAGAATATTTTTATTGCCACATACTAAAACTAAAATGAATGCAATGAGAAATGTGTTATGGATTGCATCAGTTGCGCTAATTACAGATAAAATAATTAACGGTAGACTTGTGGTTTGGGTTTGTATTATGGATTGCATAAGACGCTCCATTGAAGCTGATAGATATAATCAACATGGCATTTTGTAACAGAATATGGGTAAAGTAGAGCTTATGTTGGTATGAACTGTGCATAAATATGTGCGTAAATTAGATTTAACTTTAAATAAGAATGAATTGAGATGAGAATTTCTTAAGCTAGTCACAAATAATGGTAGAAGATTAAAGATTAATGGTAATGAAGATTAATATAAAGGTAAGGCTGCCTAGGTTAGAGACTATTTTTTGGTTTTAACCATTTTCATACTTAATTCTTTCTCTTATTCCATTCTTTATTCCTCTTAACTTGGAATGTTATTTTTAAAAAAATTCCCATTTATTATTATTGGTGTATGTTTATTTCATGATTCCTTTGTAATTGGTTCTCCTATCATAAATAAGTGGCCCTCTCAGTGATTAAGACATTTATTTACTCTCAGCATGTTATCAAAGTATGGTTATTCCCAACCCTTGCTCCTGTCATCCCTAAGCCTCTTTCCTATTTTCTATCCCATGGCCCAGTCTCTGCACCCCGCTCCACCCCCTTCTCTGTCATTTTACTCATGATCCCATGTATACTCACTAACAAGGAATCATACCTGTGCTAAAGACGATGACCTCTTCTCCCTTCGTGCTTTGCCTAGGACTAGGGCTGTAAACGAGCCGAGCTTGAGCGAGCTCAGGCTTGGCTCGTGTTCGGCTCGTGTTTGGCTCGTTCGAAATAGCTCGTGTTTGAAATCGCCTCGTGTTCGAAATTGGCTCATGAACAGTGTGTTCATGTTCGGCTCAAAATTGACTCATTAAAATTAAATTGAAAAAAATAGATGTAAAATGTGAGATTCGAACCTGGACAAAATATATACAAAATAAGGGATTAACCACATTACCACATGAGATGTTATGATTTAAACTTAAATATAAATATATATAATATATTATTATATAAATAATATATGTAATATATTATATGTAATATATTATGATATAAATAATTATAATTTTTTTTTTATTTCGAGCTAAAACAAGCCGAACACGAGCGAACAAAGAACTTTTTGTGTTCAACTCGTTTATAATTCGAGCTTTAAAAACTTATTCATGTTTGACTCGTTAACTTAACGAACGAACTGAACACGAGCTACTTAACGAGCCAAACACGAACTTTTCGCAAACAACGAGCTTTTTGACAGCCCTACCTAGGACTGCTCTATCGGCATCGTCTCCTAATTCTCCCCAGCGCTGGCTTACTTTATCTTTATCTTTTGTATTATGGACTTCCAGTTTTACCCCTGTATTAAACAATATAAATAAAGAGTTATTTGTAATTGTAAGTGTATAAGGTGAATAAGAGAATTCTGTTTAGAGTTATCTTTTCTTTTGACTTAGCTCCAACATCTATGTTTTCCTTTCTTCTTCATGGTATCAAAGCCATTCGGTTCTCTACCTATTCTTCTTCCAAGAACTCTACCTGAGGTGTGAATCTTCTCGCTCCTCTGTCACCTTCTTCCCTTCCTTTCCCTTAACATGGAAGACTCCTCACAAAACACCTCACAATCTACCACTCACCCTTCCATTACCCTCTCCAAAATTAAAGAAACCAACATTCCCACTTCTCTCAAATTCTTGTTGTTTCACATCAAGATTATGACCAATCAAAGCTTATCTTATGACAATTATCCCATCTGAAAAGTCCAGATTCAAAAGGTATTTTATGCAAATGGTTTTTGTCCTTTACTCGATCCCCATACCAAGATTCCTCCAAGATTCAATCAAGAACAACCTGGTAACCTTGAAGAAATGGATAAATTCCTTCTTTGGCAATTAGCGGATCACATTCTTGGGGCTGCTCTCATGTCTACAATTTCCACCCATATCATATCATATATTATTCATCTTAAAAGTAAAGTCAACATCTGGATTTCTTTAGAAAACCGTTTTCAGTTCGCCAATCGCTTAAGGGTGATTCAGCTCAAGAACGAGCTTCATCACATATCGATGGGAACCAACACAAAGCAAGAATATCCCACTACTGTCAAAACAATGGTAGACAATATCACAGCCGCTGGATGCAAAATTGACAATGAAGACATCATTCGCTATATCTTAAACGGTCTTCCCCCAAGTTACTAGGGTTTCAAGACTGCCATTCATTCCCAACTGAATCCCATCTCTCTAGAAACCTACTATTCTCTTCTTTATAGCTAAGGTTATCATCTCACAACCGAAGCTAACAGGTCTCCCAACCATCGACACTTCTTACATACAAAAACGAAGGTACTCAAAATGAACAACACAATTTAAAAAAAACAGGTTCCCAATAACATATCTCAACAATTCAAACAAAATATCAAACAAAAAATTGCATCACATGTCAAATATGTTATAAGAAACGCTCTTTCCATAATCGTAGCCCTTCGCATTGACATCCAACATTCTCTTGAAGAATCGATCCTGGAAACAGGTGCTACGACACACATAACTCCCCACATACAACATCTTCAACATCCTATTTCCTACAACGGTACAAACAAGATTGTGGTAAGCGACGACCAATCCATAAAAATTTCTCACACCGGTAAGGGGATTCTCCCCACTCTAAACCGTAAGCTCATCTTATCCCTCTCTTACGTGCTCCTTCTCTTTCCCATTATCTTATTTCTGTTCAAAAGCTGGCTAAAGATAATGCATGTCAGGTTATTTTTGATGCGAACGACTTCTGCATTCAAGCCAACAAAATCAAGAAACTCTTTTTGACTGGCCCAGCTAAACAAGGACTTTACCACACAACCGCTCTGTAACACTCTCTGGACTCCTCTCAAATGCGGCATCGGCTTCTCGACCACCCCATCACATGACTATATCTCTTATTCAAAACATAATCTGCATTTAAAGATTCCCACAACTTCATTACATGTCAAGAATGTCTAACAAAATAAGAGTCATAAATTGAAGTTTACATCCAGTGATACGAAATATGTTATTTTTGACCTAATATGCTCTGATGTTTGGGTCCCCTTTTCTTACCCCTCAACTGAAGGATATATTTTCTATGTCACTTTTATAGATGCTTGTTCATGTTTTTGTTGGTGCACTCCCATGTGACACAAATCTGAGGTCACTCAATATTTTATAATATTGCATCAACACATACAAACTCACCTCAATAAAAAAAATTAAATACCTCCACTCAAATGGTGGCGGGGAATATAAATCTCATACTCTTCTCATATACTTACAAAACCATGATATTTCACATCAATTTTGTAGTCCTTACACTGTCGAACATAATGGGATCGATGAATGTAAACATCGACACATAGTTGAAATTGCTCGAACACTTCTCAACACAACACCACTCCTAAATTTCTGGACTGAAGCCATCATAACTGCAAACTATCTCATTAACAAGCTCCCTTCTCCCATAACTCAAAACGAAACAACATTTCAGCTCATTTACCACTCCAAACCCTAATAACAGATCAACGAGATCTTCTTACTTATTGTTTCTGCGCATATTGGTGAAGATGAAAAAATGCTAGAGTTTTCCCGCGGCGCTTTGAGGGAGGAATTTTCATGCTTCTTTAGCAGTGATATCTCTTATAGCCTTTGTATCAATTCTTGTTGGTCATTATAGTCCTTTTACTTATCTGTTGTGACATTTGTAAATGATGATAATATATTTCTTGTATGTCTTTGACGTTGTTTCTTAGATTGGTGTGGCTTCTAAATCATATGAAATTCCTTAATCAAATTTAGTACATACTTTATAAAATGGAGAATCGCGTATCTTTTGCAGCTTGTGCATTTTGAGACTATGCTCTCTCGGGCTTATGCCTGATAAGAGCTTGAAATGAACTGATAGCTTCTGCGGTTTGTAGCCTTCTAAGATCTTTTATGTACTTATGTCTTCTGAGGTATGTAGCCTTCTGAGGTCTTTGATGTATCCGCGTCTTCCGAGTATTGTAGCCTTCTAAAGTCTTTGATGTACGTATGTCTTTTAAGGCTTGTAGACTTCTGAGGTCTTTGAGTGGAGACCCTGTTAATCACTTGCTCTCGTGGAATCTTTCTAGTGTGGACTCTGTCCACAACTAGCTTTCCATCGAGCCTTGTCTCTTGGGCTTGTCTTTTAGGGTCACTGTAGCTTCTCATCGAGTTTTGCTTGTTGGGCTTGACTTCCAAGAGTACCGTGTCTTCCCATCGAGTCTTGCCTTTTGGGCTTGTCTTCCAAGGACATGATAGCTTCTTATCAAGTATTGTCTCTTGGGCTTGACTATCAGGAGTACCGTATCTTCCCATCGTGTTTTGTCTCGTGGGTTCAACTTCCAAGGGCATGCTAGCTTCTCATCGAGTTTTGCTTCTTGGACTTAACTTCTAGGAGTATCGTATCTTCCCGACTTCTAGGAGTATTATGTCTTCCTGTCGAGTCTTGCCTCTTGGGTTCGACTTGCAGGGGGCATATTAGCTTTTAATCAAGTCTTGCATCTTAGGCTTGACTTTTAGGAGCATCATATATTTTAGTCTAGTGTTGCCTCTTGGGCTCAAGGGGGCTTTCTAGGGGCATGAATGAGAATCTTGTCTACCACTTG